CTGCCGGATGCGCGCTTGCGCATGCTCGCGAAGGCGGGGCTGAAGCCCGGCGGGGAAAGTAGTTTGCGTGGGGATTGGCTTCCAGCAGTAATGCTCATCGGGGAGGGCAGTTGTTCGCTTAGCGGTGGGATGCTGGAAGCAGGCCGTCCTTTGGGAGCGTTCTAGTGATGTTGGAGAGGACAGGACAGTTGAGCGCAATTCCCGTCTTCATTTTCTCGTAGATTTGTTGACGTCAGCATTTCTTGTTGATTGACATTTGCTGGTAAAGGCGGGTATCATTAAAGCAGTGTCTATAATCACGGCTTCTTTCTGATGGTAGAGTTGGAGATCCTGTTGGGTCCCCATATATGGTCCAACCTGGCAGTGTTTGTATGGAAAAAAGAATCGTTACGAATGGGTGATGTGGCCTATTTGGGGCAACCAGAATTGGTTTTGTTTGTTTTTGTTTTCTGGTTTAGTGTCTGAATTACAGTTTTCTTCATTAGGGATTTAAAGCCAATTTGTCTCTCTTGCGGAGGCCTGGAGAAAAAACTTACACACAACGCTGTCGTTTATTTGTGGGGAACCTACCTGCTGATATCACAGAGGATGAGTTCAAAAGACTGTTTGCTAAATACGGAGAACCTGGAGAAGTTTTTATCAACAAAGGCAAAGGGTTCGGGTTCATTAAACTTGTGAGTGTTTTTGGTTGTCTTTTACATACGTACTAGAAAGAAGTGTTATAATTCCTTTTGACTTCTGTAAACTCTTGAAGGCTTGGTATTAAATGGAAAGAATTAATTGGCCTTTAAGTGTTTCGTCGTCGATACAGATCAGTATAGTGTGTATTGGGAAAGAAGCAAAGACAGACCTTTAGCCCTCGGGATGCTGGGAGGGGCTGCGAGAATACGATGCTTCAGTTGAGTTTTAGAAATAGGAAGGGTATTACACATTGGACATTGCTAGGTTTGAAACTGTTTACAATGTTTCTGATATTTACAGGAATCTAGAGCCTTGGCTGAAATCGCCAAAGCTGAACTTGATGATACCCCCATGAGAGGTAGACAGCTTCGGGTTCGCTTTGCCACACATGCTGCAGCCCTTTCTGTTCGGAATCTTTCACCCTATGTTTCTAATGAACTGTTGGAAGAGGCCTTTAGCCAGTTTGGCCCTATTGAAAGGGCTGTTGTAATTGTGGATGATCGTGGAAGATCTACAGGGAAAGGGATTGTTGAATTTGCTTCAAAGCCAGCAGCAAGAAAAGCATTTGAAAGATGCAGTGAAGGCGTTTTCCTACTGACAACGTAAGTTGTCTTTTGTTTATGAGAATTTTTTTTTAATTTTGGGGGAGAGTTAAAATAAAGTTGGAAGGAAGTTAAGGTGAGGAATTATTTCTGTTACTAGGACTCCTCGCCCAGTCATTGTGGAACCTCTTGAACAGTTAGACGATGAAGATGGTCTTCCTGAAAAACTGGCCCAGAAGAACCCAATGTATCAAAAGTAAGACTAAGCTTTTTGGTACTCAAAAGAGAAGTTAGTCGTTTCATAATTTTGCTTAGAAGTTAGGATTTGGGGTCTGTGTGTGTGTGCTGTGTATCTCTAGTTGGTCTAGAAATCTTTCATGCAGGCCAGACTGACCAAAACCTTGACCAAATCAAATCCTGATTTCTGTTTCCCAAGTGCTGGGATTATAGGTGTGAGCCATAAAGCCAAGTTTTAGGAATACTTCTTACAATGTTGCTTGAGTATGCTTAATACAGATCTCTGGCTCAGACAGAGTTTTTGTAGGGGGGATTTTGGGTGGAGTAGCTTTGGGTTTTTGGAAACCCAAAGGTTTCTCTGTAGCCTTGACTTTTAAAAGACCAGCCTGGCCTCAAACCCAGGAATCCACCTGTCTCTGCATTCTAGAATGCTGGGATTAAAAGTCTGTGCCAAGACAGGCAAGTTCTGCTTTCAGACAGAACTTGAAGTTGTTAGGTTATTTTTAAGTGCGTTCACATATGATGCTGATATATGCTTAAAATGCGTGAGAAATGCTTGATGTTGGTGGGAAAATAAGCCTGGATGATAGGAAATGGGGGAGGTGGTGTTTCTTTTCTACTGTGTCTTTTAATTTTTTTAAATTTAGACATTGGGCCTACCTGTAGACTAGACTGGCCTAGAACTCATACACCATCATGCCTTTATATCATAACTTACTCCTTGATTCGATATAATTTAGTTAAATAATTCATGGTTATTTATATCTGTCTAGGAGGCAAGTTTCAGGCCAGCCAGGGCCAGCAAGACTTGTCTCAAAAAAAGTTGGAGATTATAGTGCCGGGCGGTGGTGGCGCACGCCTTTAATCCCACCACTCGGGAGGCAGAGGCAGGCGAATCCCTGTGAGTTCGAGGCCAGCCTGGTCTACAAGAGCTAGTTCCAGGACAGGCACCAAAAACTACAGAGAAACCCTGTCTCAAAAAAAAAAAAAGTTGGAGATTATAAAGAAGGTGGTGTGTTGAGAGAAACCTGTTTAATTTTTTGTTGGTGGTGTTTTTGGTTTTTTTGAGACAAGGTTTCTGTGTAGCTTTGGAGCCTGTCCTGGAACTAGCTCTTGTAGATCAGACTGGCCTTGAACTAACAGAGATCCGCCTGCCTCTGCCTCCCGAGTGCGAGTGCTGGGTTTAAAGGCGTGCGCCACCACCGCCCAGCTCAGTTTAGTTTTTAATGTGTGTGAATGTTTTGCTTGCATGTATGTCTGTGCACCTTGTGTGCCTGGTTCCCAAGGAGGCAAGAAGAGGGTGTCGTAGCCTTGTGGATACTCGGAAACAAACATGAATCTCTCAGCTTCTTACTGCTGAGCCGTCTTTCCAGCCCCTTTCACCATAGCATTCTGATTTTAAGTTTTGTTTCTTGACATAGTTGATCAGAGTTGCAAGTTGAGGATCTTAACAATACAATAATATAGGGAAAGGATCGTGTCTTGTGTTTCTTTGTCTGTCCTTGGTACTGAGGATCAAATCCAGGGCATTGTACATTACGTTTACATGCTTATTCAAGTGCTTTATCATCGGGCCTGTATGCTTACAGGTACTTAAGGTTTTTCATGTCAGGGTTTCTTTGTGGTTCTGCCTGTCTCTGTCTCCCCAAGTGCTGGGATTAAAGGTCTAGTTTAAGGTTTTGATTTTTTTTTTTTTTTTAAAGGAAGTCAGGTAATACTACATTCTCAAATTGGCTTTATATAAACTTTGCTTTGTCAGGGAGAGAGAAACACCTCCTCGTTTTGCTCAGCATGGCACATTTGAGTATGAATATTCTCAACGATGGAAGTCCTTAGATGAAATGGAAAAACAGCAAAGGGAACAAGTTGAGAAAAACATGAAAGATGCAAAAGATAAATTGGAAAGTGAAATGGAAGATGCCTACCATGAGCATCAAGCAAATCTTTTGCGTCAAGGTAAAAAAAGTTTCAGAATTTTACTGGTAAGGATCAGTTGACATTTTGAAATGGCCAGAGCCTCACTAACATGAATCTAAAAATATTAATTCCCAATGCTTAGATTTGATGAGACGCCAGGAAGAATTGAGGCGCATGGAAGAACTTCACAGTCAAGAAATGCAGAAGCGCAAAGAAATGCAGTTGAGGTATATAGTGTTAAATTCAGCCTTCACTTCTAGCTTGTAGACAAAATGTACTAAGTGCACGCTTGCATTAGGAAAGCTTATTTTATAATGCTGCTATCTGTAGATAGTTATGTTTTATAGACTTCGAAACTTATATTTAACCTACACTTTGTAAAATTCTAATACAAACCCATTTGAAAGAAGTCATTGTCTCATGGCACTAGCTCGAGATTTCTTTCCCTCTGCCTTTGCTCTCGAGCACTCTGTTTAAAGGTCATACCTTGCTAGCCTCTTAAGTATAAATTATAAAGGTAGAGATGAAACCTTATGCACCTGAAAAACATTTGTAGGCAAGAGGAGGAACGGCGTAGAAGAGAGGAAGAGATGATGATACGCCAAAGAGAGATGGAAGAACAAATGAGACGCCAACGAGAAGAAAGTTACAGCAGAATGGGCTACATGGACCCAGTAAGTTTTGTGTTGTAGCCTAATTGGAGCTGTCTGTGGTGCCTAGCCTTGTAGGTACTGATGAGCGTAAAAAAAATCTACTCATTGTAAATGTATCTCTTGGTGCAGTTGCTTTGTATTATGTGGTATTGGATCACATTTCATGGAATTTTGTTTGGGTTTTTTGTTCTTGTTATTGTTTTTTTCTTTGTGTAACAGCTCTGACTTCTAATTTATAGAGGTCCACCTGCCTTGACTCCCCAGTGCTGGGATTACAAGGCATGCACCACCACTACCCAACTCCCTGGAGGGTTGTTTGTTTTTTTATTTTTTTTTGAAAATTTATTTATTATATATAGCATTCTGCCTTTGTGTATGCCTACACGCCAGAGGAGGGCGCCAGATCTTATTACAGATGGTTGTGAGCCACCATGTAGTTGCTGGGAATTAAACTCAGGACCTGGAAGAGCAGCCAGTGCTCTTAACCTACTGAGCCATCTCTCCAGCCCCTCAACTTTGTCTTGATACTCTAACCAGTTTTCAGGGCACTTGCATACCACAATCAAATAGAAAAACATGCTTTTTTGAGGCAAGGTCTTGCTATGTAGCTACGACTGGCCTGAAATTCTCTATGTATTCTAGGTTGGTGTCAAATAGTGGTCTGCCTGCCTCTATCTTCCAAATGTTGGAGTTTGTGACTCCCAAGCCCACATAAATTTCTTGTGTTGAAATTTTCTTTGTACTTGATGTAGGTTTCACGTATAAGTAAAGAGTTATTTTTCCCCCCCGCAGAGAGAAAGAGATATGAGAATGGGTGGTGGTGGAACAATGAACATGGGAGGTAAGTGAGAGAACCAAATTAAGGGCATAAACCAGAGCAGCAGTATTCTGTTGGTATAACCACTGTTTTTGTTTCCTAGATCCCTATGGTTCAGGAGGCCAGAAATTTCCACCTCTAGGTGGTGGTGGTGGCATAGGTTATGAAGCTAATCCTGGAGTTCCACCAGCAACCATGAGTGGTTCCATGATGGGAAGTGACATGGTAATGTATCCTGCGGGATATAGTACAAAGGAAATTCTTAATTTCATGACTTAAATGTTTATTTTTCCTCTCCCTTTTCTCTCTTTTTAAGTAGCTGACTGGACTTTTAGTTCCCCCACCATGTAACTATATACAATACTCAGGACTACTTTGGCAATGTAGAACTATGTGTGTGGTAACCGAAACAGATCTGGTTGCCAACAAGGAGTCAATGTTGTTGTATGTGGAGTTATCTTTGGCAATAAGTAGATAGGTGTTTTCCATTTTATTGTCTGTGCACTATTGAACCTCTAGTGCATGGCGAATCCAAATTTTAGATGCTGGATAAGGTTTTTCTTTGTCCAAGTGAGAGAAATGGCACAGTGCCATTCTTCGAGTTGGTATTTGCCATAAGTAGGAATCAGTCAAACTCAAGGCTTGTAGCCTTAAGCATGTTAAAGTGACAGGTAGGACTTTGGCCTATAATTGGTGTGGTTTCTATTTCTAGCCCATGAAAAAGAACTTGTCTAGTGTTTTGACTCGTCGTATCCCACCTGTTGGGTCTCTCTGTAGGTAACATCAAAAAGAAACTGATGTTTCTACTTTGCTACAGGGTAGCAAAAGTCAACAGTAATTCAAGCATACTGATTGTGTGCTTTTGTTCTGAACCCCTTGATGCAATCTTGATTTCTCTATGAGATAGCGTGTCAGGTGCTTTGCAAAAGCAAAGTGAATTCTGGTGTGAGTGGCTATACAGTAGAGTGCTACAGCTCCTTAGGGAACTGGATTTTGGTGGGAATAAATTTTTGCAACTAAATTGAATCCAAATAATTCATTTGTAGGCTTTTGTCACAAAGGAGCTGCATTTCATAGCTCAGGACTTATTTTCTAAGTAGGTTTTAGTGTGAGACCCCATTTAAAACCTGCCTAAGATTTCTTGAACATTTTAAGTTAGCTTTATAAATGGTTGGATATAGTGCTGTTAGGTTTCATCAAATATAATTAACATTTTGGCCTTTCTAGAAGGCACAAGGTGTATATATCAAATTTGTTGACTAGTTTGACATGTATAGTTTAAGTTCTGTCTAGAAAGAGGTTTATACATTTAACAACTCCCGAGTTCTTACTTAACTTTTGTAATATAACTCTGAAGCCTCAAAAATTTTCTTTTTAGCTCTTTTATAGAAGCCATACAGTTTTGAAGATTGTTTTTCAAAAGTAACAGATTGAGAGTAGTCTGTTCGAGCAATTCTGTAGTGTTTTAAGTTGAAGTTGTAGGAACAGTTAAAGCCTGGTGCATTCTTTTATTTTTTTTTATTTTCAGTAATGACCAGTAACTGGGTTATTTTGAGTAGAATTGTAATGGAATGCCTGTCGAGTTCTCTTGTTAGGATATGTGGGTTTTATTTTACTTCTTGTTTAAAGTGAAAGTCCCTAAAACTAGATGGAGTAGTGAAGTCACTCTGCTTTATTGCAGTCATCCTAGCTTGGAGATAGGTTTGGGAGATAACCTAAAACATGGAATCATAGCAAAGTGACAGTGTACTCCAAAACTGAGAAAAGGTTGGACTTTTCAATTGGTGGGCTGTATATTGTGTTTGTAACAATGCAGAAAGAAACATACTGTGCATGTCAGTGTCTGGTTTCTAGTGATGGCTCTGAAGTGTGATGTGCTGTGAGACTGTGGCAACGTGAGTTTTTGATCAAGGTACTGTGCCGGTTAAGTAAAAAAACTATTAGGCTTTTTTGTGCTTTTTCTTTTGTAGTCTGGTAGCATTTTTATTAAGCTTTATTTCAACCTTTTAAGATTTCTGCAGCTTTGCAGATGTGTCTTAAGCTCTTGAAAAGCACAAGGTTTCTTATGCAGCACATGCCACTAACTGGTGAGTAGGTCCTTGTCACTTCACTGAGTGAGTTGCCTTTGTCTGATTGGGCTTGTTAGGCTTGGAGATCATTTTCTGTTCATATCTGGACAAGTGTTTCAGCGGATTAATCTGATGTGAATTTCTTAGAACTCATTTTGGAATGGATTTTCACATCTGCACTAATTCTTAAATTTTTTAGCACTACAGGGAAGATCTATTCTTTGAAACAGGTGTATGAGAATGGCTCAAGTGGGAACATACCACAAGGCATGTATTATCTTAAACTAATTTTCAAATTACCCTTTTTTCCTTTCTATGTTCCCGGTACCTGTGGATCGACTCATTGGTGATTGTATCGACGAACGTTGACTACGGAACCTTCTAAAATATTTACTTAACACACATGGACATCAACTACATTTAATGAACTGTTAATTTACTGTTCCAATAGCGTACTGAGCGCTTTGGGCAGGGAGGTGCGGGTCCTGTGGGTGGACAGGGTCCTAGAGGAATGGGTCCTGGAACTCCAGCAGGGTACGGTAGAGGGAGAGAAGAGTATGAAGGGCCAAACAAGAAACCCCGATTTTAGATATTTAGGCTTTCATTCCAGTTTGTTTTGTCTTTTCTTGTTTAGATACCACTTTTAAATTCTTGCATTTTAGTAAGAAAGCTACCTTTTTATGGATGTTAGCAGTTTATTGACCTGATATTTGTAAATGGTCTGTTTGGGCAGGTAAAATTATGTAACGCAGTGTTTGCAACAGGAGAAAAAAAATTCTTTTTATTTACTTTTTTTTTAAACTGTATAATGTTTCTCAAGTTAATGGCAGTGTACCTTGTGCCACTGAATTTCCAAAGTGTACCATTTTTTTTACTGTGCTTCGAATAAATAGAAAAATAGTTATAATATTGATCTTCAACTTTGCCATTCATGCTTCTATGCACATTTAGGCTAGGTATTCACTTAAAGCATGAGCGTGTCTAGGCCTTTGAGTGGCATATGCCATTTCTGGGAAATGTATCTGGAGGCTAAGTATTGCTTTCTGCAAATGGTGTTCTCCCCCCCTTCCTTGTTTTAAAAAGAAATGCATATTGAAGTAGTTAGGATTTCTTTGGCATTATAGGAAGCAAGCTGGTGCTAAGCATTTTTAAATGGTTATTTTAGAAAAGTTGAACTGTAAATCTTAATTCAGGAACATGTATTAAGATTATGGAATGGGTATAAACTACTGGTAGTGAGAGAAAGGGGGTTTGGTTAAACGATCCCTTATGGCCCTATCTATGATCCTTTCCTTGGAAGCTTTTGAAAATGGAAAGATCATCTTGTTGCATTTCCCCTACTGTTTTGTTTTAAACGAATAAATTCCCAAGCCCTACAATTGGCTTGTATTGAACTTTTGCATTTGAATTAAAGATTGTTAAACATGAGGCCTTTCATGTATTACTTCAAGTGATTTAAAATATGGGATTTAGTCTGGAGAGTTAAGGGTTAGTTAACTATAAGGTAGGTTTAGCCTTATGTACTCTTTAACATACACCTCCTGTGCTACTTCTATTGAGCAAAATCTGTAGTCTGAAAAAAATTACTGGTTCTCTTTTCAGAGCTAGTTGTGACTCTTACCAAATAGGACTGCCAATAACCATTCTAACTATGGAGTTGACCTGACCTGTTTTTTTTTATCATTCTTTTTAACGTAGTACTAAACCTGGAGAGAGTTGCTCAGGCTATATAGTATAAATGCTCTTTCCTCCCACTGTAAGCTTGGGGGTGTTTCTACGATGTTAGTTGATTGTCAACTTCATTGAATTTCTCATTAGAACAAGAGACTTTCTGACTTGATAATAATAAAGTAGATTGTTTACTGTTGTCTATGAGTATAATGGGAGCTTGATTTTTCTTCCCAGTATAACTATGTTGAGGAAAATCTAACAGTATGTAAAGTAATTGAATGGCTTGGCTCTGTTCTTAGTTACATTTCCATTCAACATTATAGAACTTTCACTATGAAATGTCTTCATCCTTTTCACCTCTGTCCTTGGTGCTAATTGGCAAAAGAAATTCTAAATCACTTGCTGAGGTTCAGTATTGTGCTTGAGTACAAAAGGAGACCTATTGTGAAAACAATTGAATACTTCATGAATAGGAAAATACTGTAATTTTTCAAAGTCAACACTAGTGGATTATAAGAAGCATGCCACCAAATGGTTTTATGATTGACAGGTATGGTGTATTAAGAGAGAAAATCTCCTTAAGAAATACATTCATTTTTCTTCACCAGTACACTTGGAAATAGGTAGTTCATCATAATTTTAGCACTCTGAAAGTTTTTGAAGTGAAGTTAATAGTTGATGGTACATAAAGATTTTCTGTATGGAAACAAAGGTCTGGATTTGAGAGGAGTTCATTTAGTTGAATTGTATAGTAGGGACCATAATAATGAGAAAATTGAGGGGTGTTCACGGGACACCCATGAAGGGTGAATTTGAATGTATGTGGGTGGGGGCTGGAGGGGAAATGGGAAAATCTGCCTATAAAATTAATGTTTCAGTTTATTTTTCAGATAACATGCCTTTCTTTATAAGGGATGCTGGCACAGACCCCTAAAATAAGCTTTTGGTAGTAGTATACCTTTGAAGAGTGGTGAAAGATGCGTAAAGGATAATTTCCTGAGGTTGTGGCTTTTGATAGCCTTTATTGTGGGCTGTAGAGTTGCTAAACAGTGTTTAGCAGATAAGGTTGCATAGTGTCAACCAACATTGACTTTGAGTTTACTAAGGGTTGTAAACTACTGAGACTTTCAACAAGTCTTACATGTGATGGTTTTAGCCTAAGTGAATTTTAATCATCTTGAGTACTTAAACCAAAAGCTAAAGAGGAAACTTAGGGTGGGAGGGGGGGGATAATAGAATGTATTTTAGACATTTTCTCTTGGAAGAAATCAACTGCCCCTATTTCCTCCTTAACTTTCTCAATTATGTTTGTAGTATATAATCGAGAAATTTTTCTCCTTTTAAAAAAGTTTCATTCTCAGCAGAGCTGTGGTGATGCAAGCCTTTAATCCGAGTATTCGGGAGGCAGAGGCAGGTGGATCTATGAGTTTGAGGCCAATCTGGTCTATAGGGGCTAGTTCCAGGAAAGCTAGGACTATTATACAGAGAAGCCCTGTCTCAAACCCCCCCCCCCCAAAAAAAAAAGGTTTTATTCTCTAAGACAGTAATATATTTGATAGGCATGCTATAAACTGGACCCATTGACATACATTATGTGGTGAGACCATATTCTCTTGTCCCTAGCACAGTAAGTTTCTAAGTACATTAGAACCCACCACTCTTTATGTGTGTTGTACCACTAATACAAACACATAATCTGGGAAAACTGTAGTGATACACCTGTGAAGTTCTTACAAGCGGCATAGCATGGCAGATAAAAATTTTAGGTATTTGGCTTGGGCAAGCCACAAAGTTGTGGCGGAATGTTTTGTGGTGTTCTTGGACTGCAATTGTGCACTATTAAAGTAGTGGCCTGCTACATAACTGCGTTTAGCCAGCATTTCTGCAGTGCGTAACTGTGAGGAACGTAGTACCGCAAATGGCAATGGACATTAGGACCCGGATGTAGTATTCCTGCTTGCTCCAAGATTCTCATTGCCGACTGCATACAGGTAGGTAACAAGCAATATAATCTAACTTGGTGACTTGCTATGTGCTTTTATTCAGTGGGCATTCTGACATCACACTTCTGACAGTGAAATTACAGTGCAGCACCTGATACTTGTATGATAAGCTAGGTTAATTAAAAATCTGGGTGTGGGGTTAGATCTGTAATTTGTTAGGAAGAATTCAGTGTTTGAGATCTCAGAAAAAAATGCAAACTTGAATCTGGTGTGTCTTGAAGTTTTGTGGATTTCTTTAGTTACATTGTAACTGAAGATAAAATGGAACACATCTGGTGGTGGGGGAGGGAAGCAAACCATACTTGACCTGGGGTGCTCATAGCACCTTGGAGAAGACTTGTAGTATGTGACAATTAGTCTCCTTAGTAGCAAAACTTGGTCTCCCTTTGGTCAGCAATGTCTAAATCCATGATGCAATCTTGGTAATTTGTTTTGCAAGTTGAATGAAGACTAAATGACACAGGGTCGGGGGGTGGGTTTTTTCTGGGTTTTATTTTTGTTTCTTTTTGTAATGTGATCAAATTTTTCCAGATATGGGCTTCATGGGAACACTTTTACTAACTTGGGCTTAGATGGGAATCTTATGAGCAGTTCAAGTTATGTGGCTTTTCTAAGTATGTTTATACTCTAAACTTGGGGGAAAGTAGTGTGAAACACTGGCTTCCTACAGTTGAAAACATTGGGAATCGCTCCCCACCATAAGACTTCGTCGTGTTCTGTAGCATGAGTGCATTGTTCAGAGTAGCTCTTTGAACTTCGTGCCCTAGTTTTTAGGGATGTGATTGATTACAATCCAAAATGTTTAATAATAATCCCAGGAATACATAAGTCTTCAAAGCATTTTTCTTTGTTGCTTAGGACTTGAGCTTCCTATCCACTGTTGTTCCAGACCTCAATCAGTTTAAACCTTGGTGTTTAGTAGGTAGCGTGCATGAGAAAACAGCTTCCACTCATAATGCTTCCTGCTCTATAACTGGAAATTTGGTTCCTTTTGCATATGTGCCGCTGAAAACGTCAGGACTGTGAGAATTTTCTTTCACTGTATCAAGAAAAATGGCTTGCTTTTGGTCAGGCAAGTCAGATGGTGGGGCAGATTTGTATTTACTCCAAGCAAACAACTTGTGATTACTGATAGATGAAGGCAATGGTGACTTAGTTCCTTATACGATACAAACATACAATGTGACTTGAATATCACTCTCCTGCCTGGAACCCTGATGGGGGCATTGCAGTGTCATAGTCTGTTAAATCGGTAGCACAGGCTTGCTACCGTGGCTCAATTAGTGATTTTCAATGTTAACAAGAGCTCAGGTTTATTTCTTCTGAACAGTAACAACTTGTAGAGAATATACTTGATACAATATATGGACCTAGGGAATTTGGGGTGGGTGTTTTTTTCCCCCCATTGGTCTGCTTTTTAAGATTAGGCTTTTGTACTTCAGAATGAGAAATCATTAACTTAAGTAGATTCCGGCTAGTTTAATTTGTATGTAGGTGTAAATTGTGAATCTTGCAAGTTTATTGGGGTTTTAAACCACTCCAAAAAAAAAGGCCTGGGAATTAAATGGGTTTCAGTAATACTATATACTGAGGTGCTTGCATTGTATTTCATAACCTTGTTGCAACCAAAATAAATACTTTTTTAAAATGAAAACCTAGGTTCAGAGGTGTGATGCCAGAATGTATTATCGTACTGTTAGGCCCTTGGAGCAGATCCTGGTGCTTTCTGAAAGATGAAAGAGATACAATGGGTGCTCTTGATAAAAGGCTGCTCGCAGTCTACCAGCAATGCATACTCTCACTCTCCCTAATGAAGAGATGCGTGTGTTTAGTTTTGGACTTTAACCTTAATGGGGGTGCATGTCTCCTATTGTTAATCATTGTCAGCTGCAGTGACATGATCCACAGTCCTGCATTTACTGCTGCCTTTGTGTTAATGATTTTGGATAGGTTTTAGAGCTCTGGGGTGTTTGTTCTGGGCCTTTTCTTGGTTTTGGCTTTAGCTGATAATGTTTAGTGCTGTCTAGCTAGTGCAGTTCTCAAATGGCTCCCTACTAGGGAGAGAATCCAGAGGATTTAACTGCTCCTTTATCATCTGTCATTGCTGCTAGATAATGATTGGCAATTTTTTAGACGCAAATGTGGAAATCTCAACAGCTATTGATAACCAACCATAAAAATAGTGTTTTGAACACCAGTGCTGGAGAAAAAAATAGAAGATGAAAGGGCCTGGACATAGAATAGGGATAATTGGAGAATGGGGAAAGAATGCAAAACGATATAGTATCCCTTATGAATGGTCCATGTGCAACAGAGAACTAGCCCATATACCTGTGGCAGTAATGATATAGGCAGGAAGAAAAACCTGGAACTTGAATTTAAGGCTGAGCTTTCTGTTTCTTGTGTACCTTGCCAGGCCATTGACTTCTCCCTCAGAAAAACTTTTCCTTGCTGTTCCAGTAAGGCATAGCTTCCTTGCCCTAACTTTAAAACACAGTGAGGACTTGGAGGACAAAGATTGAGGCAAATGCATAGGATTGCAGGGTAAAGAACTGCAGTGTTGTGTGCTGTGGGAAAAGGGCCAAAGCACTCCTGGAGGTTATTCTACCTAGGGATGAAAACCATAGCAAATTGACTGGGGAAGCAGGGTGTGCTGTAGAGCTCATGGCTCACTTACTTAGTAAGGTAGATGTTGTCACACACCTTCACATAAGGGATAGTATATTTTGGGTTGCAGTCAAACTTCATTGTGCT